GTGGTGTTCCCAATATCTCCAGCTAAGCAAGACTTCTTTCCAGCTGAAACTTTGTTTGTGTCGTTATCCTTTCTATGGATTGTTCGCAATAGAAGACTAGACTTTGAGTTTTCTACCTGAAAATATCTTCCTCTCCAGAGACATTTAAGCCTTGTAAAAGGACTTTGCTCCAATGATGGCCTGTGTTCTATCTCCAGTAATATTCCCATCTTGTTGAGAGTAGCCATGTGTTGAGTTGTACTGTGACGTCTTATCATCTCCTGTCTATCTCCTGTCTGTTTTGTCAGCATATACATAACATTCATTTATTCATTCACACTTGCATCATGCATGCACAGTTGTATTTGTTAATGTCATTAAATTCGTACATCTTGGTTGTGTCTTTTCAAATAACGTATTTGATCTTTCCAAATAGGGTGTCAACTTAAGCATAAAGTGCGCCTCCTTTCTAATTCCCAAACTGAGCTAATCCTCGTGGATGATTTTTGATTCAGCTTACCTTGTCCATTTCTGGATAGGATAAATTCCCCAATCGAGTTACTTTCTCATTGGGTAGAGTCTTGTTTGACTGTTTCTCTCTGGTTATCCCTGGATGAAGTTGTTGCCTCTTGCATAGGCTATCTCATTGATTTTCCCCAGTGAATTTGCGACCTAGACGGTTGGTGCATTTATTTTGCACGTTAAAGTATATGATCTCCTCGGGAAGGATTGATTCAGGGTCCTCTTTGACGAAGATTTCATTCTCTGCCAATATCATTGCAATTTCCTTCTGAGTTATTCTTTGGAAAACGACAAGCGGCAGCTCTTCATGAGCAACTTGTACGTTATAGGCACCGTTGGAAAACGACAAGCGGTAGCTCTTCACGAGCAACTTGTATGTTACTCTTTGAAAACGCCGAGCAGCAGTTCTTCATGAGCTACTAGTGCGTCATTTATCCTTTTTGGGAATCGCCGAGCAGCAGTTCTTCATGAGCTACTAGTGCGTCATTTATCCTTTTTGGGAATCGCCGAGCAGCAGTTCTTCATGAGCTACTAGTGCGTCAGTTATGACTTTGTGAAAGCGCCGAGCAGCAGTTCTTCATGAGCTACTAGTGCGTCATCGTCATTTTATCTTTCGGAAAGCGCCGAGCAGCAGTTCTTCATGAGCTACTAGTGCGTCATTTTATTCCGTTGGAAAGTACCGAGCAGCAGTTCTTCATGAGCTACTAGTGCGTCAGTTATGACTTTGTGAAAGCGCCGAGCAGCAGTTCTTCATGAGCTACTAGTGCGTCATCGTCATTTTATCTTTCGGAAAGCGCCGAGCAGCAGTTCTTCATGAGCTACTAGTGCGTCATTTTATTCCGTTGGAAAGTACCGAGCAGCAGTTCTTCATGAGCTACTAGTGCGTCAGTTATGACTTTGTGAAAGCGCCGAGCAGCAGTTCTTCATGAGCTACTAGTGCGTCATCTTCATTTTATCTTTCGGAAAGCGCCGAGCAGCAGTTCTTCATGAGCTACTAGTGCGTCATTTTATTCCGTTGGAAAGTACCGAGCAGCAGTTCTTCATGAGCTACTAGTGCGTCAGTTATGACTTTGTGAAAGCGCCGAGCAGCAGTTCTTCATGAGCTACTAGTGCGTCATCGTCTTTTTATCTTTCGGAAAGCGCCGAGCAGCAGTCCTTCATGAGCTACTAGTGCGTCATTTTATTCCGTTGGAAAGCACCGAGCAGTAGTTCTTCATGAGCCACTAGTGCGTCACTTTATCTTTTTGGGAAGCAACAAGCGGCAGTTTCTTCATGAGACAACTTGTGTGTTATTGACACCTTTGAAAAGACAACAAGCGGCAGTTTCTTCATGAGACAACTTGTGTGTTATTGACACCTTTGAAAAGACAACAAGCGACAGTTTCTTCATGAGACAACTTGTGTGTTATTGATACCTTGAAAAAAACAACAAGCGGCAGTTTCTTCATGAGACAACTTGTGTGTTATGGATACTCTTGACAAACAACAAGCGGCAGTTTCTTCATGAGACAACTTGTGTGTTATGGATGCTCTTGACAAACAACAAGCGGCAGTTTCTTCATGAGACAACTTGTGTGTTATTGATACCTTGAAAAAACAACAAGCGGCAGTTTCTTCATGAGACAACTTGTGTGTTATTGATACCTTGAAAAGACAACAAGCGGCAGTTTCTTCATGAGACAACTTGTGTGTTATTGATACCTTGAAAAGACAACAAGCGACAGTTTCTTCATGAGACAACTTGTGTGTTATTGATACCTTGAAAAGACAACAAGCAGCAGTCTCTTTATGGACAACTTGTATGTTATCAACACTTTCAAAAAAACAGCAAGCGGCGGTCTCTTCATGAGCAACTTGTATGTTACTGATGCCTTAGAGAAAACAGCAAGTGGCAGACTCTTCATGAGCAGCTTGTGTGATTTTATATTCTCTGAAGATGGCAAGTGGCGGACTCTTCATGAGCAGCTTGTATGATTTTATATTCTTTGAAGATGGCAAGTGGCGGACTCTTCATGAGCAGCGTGTGTGATTTTACATTCTTTGAAGATGGCAAGTGGCGGACTCTTCATGAGCAGCTTGTGTGCTTTTATATTCTTTGAAAAACAGCAAGTGGCAGACTCTTCATGAGCAGCTTGTGTGATTTTATATTCTCTGAAGATGGCAAGTGGCGGACTCTTCATGAGCAGCTTGTATGATTTTATATTCTTTGAAGATAGCAAGTGGCGGCCTCTTTATTTGAGCAGCTTGTGTATCCCCAACAATAAGGTCTACTCAGCAAACGGCATCTTTTCGGAAAAGTCCCTTGGGGAAGTTTGTATTTTATCCTTTTCAAGCGATATCTTAGTTAAAGAAGAAATATGTTACCGTTCTTGGTAAAATTCAGAAATCAGAGATGTTTATCTCCAGCCACAGTGCTGATGACAATCATTTTCCAGTCTCAGTACTGATGTCCATCATCATTTTCCAGTCTCAGTACTGATGTCCATCATTTCCTTTTCCAGTCACAGTGCTGATAAATCATGTTGTTTCCCAGCCACAGTGTTGATGTAAATCATTACCTTTTCCAGTCCCGATACTGATGTAAATCGTTCAAGAGTCTCATTTGAAGTCTATGACTTTGTTTCCCCAGTGGAGTTACAACCTCTTCCTCTCTGGGATTACTGTATAATGTGCTTGGTTTCTCCAGCATAGTCTGTCTCATATGGCGTCATTCCCCATAAAATTCAAAACATCACATTCATATCATATTGTAAACATAATCGCGGTATCTTAAGGCCAAAAATTGTGTATTCTATATTTAAGTCCCTTCAATCTCGTCGAAATGAAGATCCCAATCTTCATATCTCCAGATAGAAGAAACTTAAATAGGGGCAGCTGTTGTACCCCAATTTTTGACCTAAGATCCCACTTGCATTTTCGCATTTTTTTATACAAAAGTCAAGGTCACTAAATACGGTCGGTTTTAACCTCTTACCTTCGAGCTTTGACTATGTGAAAATTGTCAAGTGTTTTGAAAATTCTTAGCCTATGTATCATTAACTTCTACTCCAGCATGGGTATTTCTCGTTCCTTTGTTTTCATTTGCAGGAAACAGATCTGAATCAAGAGCATCAGGCGTCACGCCTCAATTAGGGTTCAGAATCTCTCAAGCCAGAAGTACAGTTAATCGTTGGTTCGTGAAGACTGATTCATCAGGAGAATCGTGCGTTTATTTCCACGCCTTGTCCGACAAGTGGTCTCGAGCTTCTCTACAACTCTCTCAGAGCACAGACAAGATTTCATCATCACTGGTTCACATGTGCATCAAGATGCTTTGGAATGCGAAGAAAGATCAAGTTTGTAGGTCAATTCAAAGCACTTTGTCCAAAAGTCAACGCTTGCACATTCAAGTTCAAACGATCGTAACTTTTCATTATTCAACATTTTTGAATGGTTACTTTTGCGTACAATTTTCTTTGACGTCATCTCTAACCCCTCTTTACCAGTCAAGGTCTGATTAGGTGCGGAGGATCATCAAAAGTTCGGATACTTAGAGGTCACTTTGATGAATGTGGCCTAATCTCAAGTAACAACTACTCGACTTTCAAGGATTGTAACTATTTCGATTTTCATCATTTCGGGATGGTTCTTTTTGCAACATGTCACAAATGATGTCGTCTACGAGATTGCTTCAAGGATCTACATCCGAATGCGTTTGGAAGGCCATGAGTTCGCTTGAACATTTTAGGCTTAGAATTGATTTTGTATTGAGATTGTTCTCCACTAAGTCAAGGGTAAAGGCAAGATGTTGAGTTTGAGGATTCATTGATTATATATTGCTATAATACAAGTTGCTTGTATTCGAGCATTAGTAATTAATGAATTAAAATTGGATTTAGATCAAGTTTCTTTGTTTGTTCATCAAGATTCGGTTCATGGTAAAAGGTTTAGGTGTTTTATTTGGAATGCATTTCAAGGTAAAAAAGACCATTCAAGGAATCTAAGTCCATCAATTCTACAAGGACTATTTCTAAGGAAAAGATCTTATTCAATCCAAGAATTTGATACAAACTTTAAAGAAAATTTCAAGATCATTGATTCAAGGATATTTGTCATGTCTAGTTCAAAAGTGGAGAATGCATCATGCTAATTTTTAGGCATATCTCAAGTTTGCAATTTCAAAAAATCTCAAGACAAATCCATTCCAAACTCAAGTGAAATATTTAAAGTTACATCCAAATTCAAGACTTGTTACAAATTTCAAATTTCATTACAAATATTATAGCCACAAAATCACATGAAAAAACATTGTAAATCCTAAAGCCTATTTTAAACTATCCTTCATCAATTTTCAAAATACCAAGTCTAAGTCTATGCTATTATTTTCAAGCCCATTTTCCTTGCTTCATGATGCATCAAATTGCTCCATAACTTGTACCAATGTTGTCCATAAATCAGCTGCTACAAACACTTCAAAACAGTCCAAACCTTGCTTCAAAATTATCCATACTGTATGCATATCAGTCCCAAAAACATGCTACTGCAATGCTGCCCACAACTTGCCAAAAACCTGTCCAAAAAGTCTGAACTTTCACAAAAATGGAAACGCAAATCCTGCATCAGAAAAAGGAAAAGTCAGCATATCATGTTTTGTCCAAGGCACATATGTTCCCTCCAAAAAATTTCATTCTGAAGGGGGGAAAACAAAGTAAAAACCTGTGGGAAATTTCTAATAAAAGACGTCCAAGTTTAGAACAAAAGGGAAGAACACCACCTGCTGTCAAAGAAAAAACACAAAAAAAAAGAGAGCAAAAGAACTAACAGTAGAAAAATCCCTCTCCTTCCTCCCTCATCTCTTCGCCTAAAAACCTCCACCACCAATATCTCTCTTCTCTTTCTTTATTTTTACTCTAATGTTTTGCTTTCTTCCTTACATCTTCTTCTTCTTCTTCAATCCATCACTTTTACCTCTATAATCTCTCTTCATTATCTTCTCACTGTTTGTCTCTCTTTCTCTCTCACACACAAACAGCGCCACCCTTCAATTCCTTGCAAAACGGCGACTGCAAACCTCCCTCTATCCGAAACCCAATCCGCCCTATCAACAACCTCAGGAATATTCTGCAACTTGCATTTCCCATTTTCTCACAAATTCCACCACCCCCTTTCCTTTTCATTTCACCAATATTTCTATATTTATCTACCAACAACAAGATCTTTAGAACAATTTTAAAAGATAAGAAAGCAGAAACTGTACCGGTTGGTGGACAGAAACAGAACATGAAAGTTATCTAAACGGATGTAGTTCTACAGCGCTCTATATCACTTCACAGCTTCTCTCAGAATGTGAAAGATGGGAAGTCACAATTGCAAAGGAGATCACCTGCTGTAAAAAACGAAAAAAACACAAAAACAAAAAAAACATTAACCTCCTGCTGTCATCCTCCTGTTTCTATTTTTTTTACCACACTACCTTAACCTCCCGGCAATCTATTCATTCACAAAACAGCAAATAAACCAATACACTACCCTCTATCCAACCATCATCTCGCCGTTATGGCCGTGCCTCCTTCCTCTTAAACATTCACAAACGCCAAACTCCATTCATCCCTTCAATTTTCCGCTTCTGTGTGTTTTCCATCAATGCAGTAGTATCACAACCCATTCCGCTAACTCACCTTAAACGCACCCTAGCTCACTCATACACAAAACCATCACCACAAAAGCCTTTCTACTGTATATTAATTTTTCAACCTTGTTTCAATACCCTTCACCATTCAACTCATTAGACCAACTTAAAGCTGCATTTGCCAAACAAGGCCTTAGTTTTGTGGTTGACAGCAATGACAGGGATCGTGTTGTTGAAGCTAGAGATGAGCTGCATAGGATGTTGAATGAGGATGAATTGAGAGATGCCGTGCTTCTAGTTTTTGCAAACAAGCAAGATCTTCCAAATGCTATGAATGCTGCTGAGATAACTGATAAGCTTGGTCTTCATTCTCTTCGACAGCGTCACTGGTACATCCAGAGCACAGGTGCCACATCTGGTGGAGGACCTTATGAAGGACGTGACTGGCTCCCAAACAACATTGCAAACAAGGCATAGAGATTCATCAGTTAAAGATGCAAGAAGCTGAGTTAACTTTTGCAATCATGATTTCCAGCATTTGTTCTCTCCGTGACCGAACACCTCCGCCTAGCAACCTTCTTCAACCTTCTAAAATCCCCGCACAGGTCTGACCTCACAGCACCGTCCATCCGCTAACCACACATCCCAACAGAAAAAAACATAAATAAATTATAGTAAAAAGAGTTTTGAACAGAATCTCATCCTAAATCATTCAAACTCGGAGCCCCGTGGAGATTCAGAGAGTTAGTATTGAAGATACCTGAACAATCTCCGGAGAAAATCGCTTCACCTACATGCTTGATGTTGAACCGAAATCGCGAGAAGGCTTCAAATGGGGTCGGTAAAAAAAAAGGAAGAAGCTGCGGCGCGAGAGGTAGAAGGAGAAGAACGCCGGATTGGAAGCTGTGGTAGCCGCCGTCGCGATTTTGAGAAGATAAAGGTACTGTGTGATGTTCTCCTTACCCTAATCCCTTTTCTAATTGTTTGTCTTATTATAACTCTTTTCTTTTTATTTATTAATTTAATTCAATAATCCTAACTTTATAATTTAATTTAGTTCATATTAGTTTATTTACTTTATCTATTTCTTTTGGGCTTTCAACAAAAAAACAATATAAAAAATATTAGTAAGTCTTAGATTTAGTTTAGTATTTAATTTAGTTTTAATTAGTTTAATTTTATTTTAGTAATTTTAGAATATTATTTCATTTAGATTTAGAATTTTATTTGTTTTAGTTTTAAATTAGTAACTTTAGAATGTTATTTGATTTAAGTTAACATTAGAATTTTAGTTGTTAGTTTTAGTTTAGGGACTTTAGAGTTTTATTTGATTTAGAATTAGTTTAATGAGTTTATAATTTTTATTTGATTTAGAATTAGTTTAATAAGTTTAGGATTTTAATTGTTTAGAATTAGTTTAATATTCTTCTAGAATTTTTTGATTTAAATTTAGTTTAGTTAACTTTGGAATTCTTATTTGTTTTAGATCAAATTTAGTAACCTTAGAATTTAATTTAGCTTAGATTTAATTTACTAATATCAAAATTTTAATTTTAGTCTAGATCTAGAGTAGTAATTTTCGAATTATTTTTATAACTTTAGAATTTGTAAGTAGTTTAGAATTATTTTAGTAGGTAATCTTAGAATTTTTACTTAGATAATTAGCTCTATTCACTTCTATATAAATATCTTTGTCATTTTAATTTCTCGATGCCTTTGATCATTAATCTGTTTCATTAGATTTGCTTTCTTTTGAATTCTCGAATGCTTACATTTTGATGTTCATTTTATTTTGCTCGGTCGATTTACTCCAAGGGAAATGTTTTTTTAACTTCGTTGACTTCATGTCATCAAATATATTTGTTACAATCGTGCGAATACCCTCATCCATTTTTTTGCTTGTTTACTATTTTTCCAATCTTAAGATAATTCTCCCAAAAGACTCCATTTTTAAACTCACACCTTTTAAGTCAAAACTTCGACACTAGGTCGTCGTATCTTCAAAATCTCTCCAACACCGATTTTTAGCCAAACGAACCATTTTCAATCAAACAAACAATTTTAAACCAAAAAACAGATATTTCAAAAGGTTCCTGCGGAGTACCGCAGATGCATTGGGTGCTAATACCTTCCCATTGTATAACCAACCCCCGAACTCTCGATCTCTTTCAAAAACGCATTGTATTTTATTACTTTTAAGTATTGTTTTACATTGCATATTTTAGGGTTTTATTTCGCTCTTTTCCCTTTCCCTTGGAAATAATAAAGCGCGGTGGCGACTCTTGCTTTTGTGAGTCAAGTTAATTAATAGCTTGATCTCCGATTTTCACCGCTACAGGGATCTGTAGTTTAAAGTATTCTGGCTCCGCTGGGGAATTGTATTTCAAGGTTTTAGCTCTGTTGAGGATCTGAATGACATACTGTAAGGGATTTCTTCTGGAATAGCCTAAAGACGTTTCCCATACTTTCAACCTATCAGTAATTATTCTTTCTTATTTCGTTTTATTTGTAAACAGTGATTATATTCAAATGCGTATGCTCATTCAATAAATCATTGGACGTTTTCAAATAAAACACAAGTGTAAAAAAGAAAGAAAAGGCAAACAAATTTATGCACTTTGAAGTGTATTTATATTAACTTTGTGTAAGTATTTTTATACAAAGGAGACAGACACCCTAGTAAGAGAATGTCGTCGTAAAAATTGAGAAAAAATTTTATACAAAGAAAGATGGCTATGTGTAACAATTCCATGGGGTTCCCATTCTGCTATAGCTTTCACAACTCTGAATATCTTGTCCATTCGTTGCTTCATCCGCAGATGATTAGATTGATCAGAATCCTGGAGCTTGTAAGTGAAGACATGGTCCTTAAAGTGATCCGACGAGATATAGTCATACGCTTTAATTCCCTAACTTTTGCCTGGATCGCCCTTTCGGGTTTTCGATCCGCCGGGAAACCCTTTTTTGCCCAAGTCGCCCTTTCGGGTTTTTAACTTGTCGGGTGTACAGATTTTTTTTATTTATCCCTAATTTTTGCCTGAACCGTCCTTTCGGGTTTTCGATTCACCGGGATGCCCATTTTTTCCCAAGTCGCCCTTTCGGGTTTTCAACTTGTCGGGTCGTTTTATGCATAGTATCTTTTGACTATGTTTGTGTTCGTAGGGTGCGGCAGGTCATCGTCGTCCATGGTGGTCAGAATCATTGCCCCACCAGAAAAGATATTCTTGATCACAAACGGTCCTTCGTAAGTAGGAGTCCATTTTCCCCTGGGATCACCTTGCGGCAAGATGATTCGCTTGATTACAAGGTCCCCGACTTGATATACTTGTCTCTTGACTTTCTTGTTGAAGGCCTTGATCATACATTTTTGATACGCCTGACCATGGAAAACAGCAGTAAGTCGCTTTTCATCAATCAATTTAAGTTGATCAAGCCGGGTCTGAATCCAATCGTCTTCACTCAAACTGGCATCTTTCATGATTCTCAAGGAGGGAATCTGAACCTCGATAGGTAAAACAGCCTCCATGTTATATACCAAAGAAAAGGGTGTTCCCCAGTTGAAGTGCGTTTCATGGTACGGTACCCGTGCAGAGCGAACGGTAACATCTCGTGCCAGTCCTTGTAGGTGGCTGTCATCTTTTGAATGATCTTCTTGATATTTTTGTTCGCAGCTTCAACAACACCGTTCATCTTTGGCCGATAGAGAGATGAATTGTGATGTTGAATCTTGAACTTCTCGCACAGAGCGGTGATCATAGTATTGTTCAAATTTGTACCGTTGTCAGTGATGATCTTGTCGGGGATACCATACCGGCATATGAGGTTCTTCTTGATGAAGCGGGAAACCACATTCTTTATAACGGAGGCGAAGGAAGCTGCTTCGACCCACTTGGTAAAGTAATCAATGGCCACCAGGATGAAGCGGTGTCCATTGGATGTTGTAGGCTTGATCTCTCCAATCATGTCGATTCCCCACATCGCGAATGGCCAAGGAGTTGTTAAGACATTGAGAGGAACTGGAGGAATATATACCTTGTCAGCATAGATTTGGCATTTGTGACAAGTACGGGAATGTTGATGATAATCAACTTCCATGGTAGACCAGTAGTAGCCTGCCCGTAGAATCTTCTTAGCCATCGTATGACTGTTCGAGTGGGTGCCAAAGGTGCCATTATGTAGTTCAGCCATAATCTGCTCAGCTTCAACCTTGTCCACACAACGGAGTAGGACACAATCAAGATTGCGCTTGTATAGGATACCATTGCTCAGAAAGAACTTGGCTGCGAACCTCCTTAAGAACTTTTTGTCGTTGACTGAAGCTCCTTCAGGGTATTCTTGTGCTTCGAGATGCCTTTTGACGTCATTAAAACCAAGGTCGGTCCACCACTTCTTCGGTATTAATCTCGTGACAATGTGATGGTTCTTCCATTCGTTCAATGGTGATTTGAGGTGCCTCATTATCCCAATTAAGTTTAAACATGGATGACATTATAGCTAGCGCATCTGCCAGTT